AGTGTAATTTTCACTGAAGATTTCATTTCAAATTGTAACATTCAGTTTATTTGTTTGTTTGTTTTTCATCCAGTAAGTTGTGTTGCGTTACATTAGTATATTCATAAAAGACATATGTGAGTAGATAGCTTCATATGATTGAAATGAAATCCTCAGTGAAAACTATACTCTTATATTTAGTACTCATCTACTAAATGAATGGAAAGATGATTGAAAATACCAGATAGTGAACTTTTATTGGACATTGAAAAAAGTAAAGTAACTTTCACATTGTTCTTACCGAACATTTGCAGTCCGTCAGTCAGTCATCTATAACACAGGACCAGGCATATATATGTGTATGTCCAAGTTGCCACATCTCATTAGCACAACAAGATGGACGCCAAATTCATAGTAGTTACTTCAATGATAGTTACATACAAAAGAAAGATTGCATATAAGGATATAACACAGGAAGAAAGAGTTAGCTCGTAGAAACAACGGTATGATGTAACTTTAATCTCACGGTTTGAGAGAAGACAAAGAGTGTATGCACTTACTCTTTTGTGACCGAGTCTGAGCCATGTCAGTCAGAGTCTCCAACTACTGGTTACGATAGTCGCACGGATCTCAACTAAGTAGTCTGTATCTACTAACATGACTCAGATCAGAAGTTAGTGATTTTATGGACTGGTATCACATATTGGTTTGGCCACCCCTAACTTTCTTCTGTTAGTCTCCAACACTAGTTAGCGTTTCGCAACGTGTTCGTCGTTGGTTGAGCATGCGTGAAACGTGGCCAAGCCATGTCAGTCGATCTAGATTTACAAAACGACTGAAAGCTCTACAGATTTACATCAAGTAGATTGATTTATGTGTATGAAACCTAAACTCTTATCGTCCTTCAGAAAATTCAGTGTTTTTGGAAATTCTTTTTGTTGTCGTTTTGTTATCATTGTTATCGTTATCGTCACAAATCGGAAATGGTTAAAAGATTGTATGTTTACCTAACTACTGCTTACCTCAATGATCAGCGTTTATCAGTGTAGAAGTAGATTGAAAGAAAGTTAGGAACAATCAAACCAAGACTCAGTAACTGTTTTATCTAGTCTTTTAGGTAGATACATACTAACTATAGTGCTTTTTTTTACTTTTAACGATAAATTTTGTAGGTACAACCATAAACATTCGATAAATAGTGATTAATTTAAGTGTTATTAAAGTATGTACTCGATATAGCTTAAGTGCACACCTTTTTTTTTTAGCTTCCAAATAAAGATATATCAAATTATCTCTGGCTATAATCATTTAGGAACTTGAATCTAAACTAATGATGACGTGATTACTAGAGCTTATTGCTAATCGAAATGTAATCACTGCATAATAATCATGGATTATACAACAAACAAAGAAATACAAATCTACACTAAAAGCTTATTCATTCATATTCAGTCGTTAATTTTGTTATTTAGAAAGATGTGAATCATGTGAAAAGTACACAATATGATTAAGAATAAATATATCCATGTGTGTCTTTACCTTAATATTGTTATTATTTATTAAGTACAATTTAATGAATAAATGCAGCTTGTCTTCTATAAAAAAAAACATGTTAATTTCAATGGTTAAGACCGTGAGTCCATTGAAGCTAGACCACCATGGAAAACCTGGAAGCACTGGACGGCTGTTTCGTCCTATTGTGGGACTCCTCAGCAGCGCGCATCCACGACCCCGCCCCCTGCGAGACTCGAACCCAGGGACTACTGGTTTCTCGCGCGAGCACTTAATCACTAGACCACTGAGCCGGCATCCAATGGTGTTAATGTTTAACTTCAACTAATCCACGAAACTGAGCGACACATCCACCATTGCCTTCAGTGAGTTACTATCTCACAACAGACCTGTTTGAACTCCACTGGTCACTACTTCTCACCTGAACTCCAGGATATACCTCTTGAAGCTAGTCACTAGTGAGCATATGTTAATTAATATCAGATGGGTTTTGTGGATATTATAGTAATTTCAATGGTTAAGGTCATGAGTCATTTGAACATGTTAATCATTTTGTTTATTAAAAATAACAATATTAGTACAAATTGAAAAGTGTTTCTTCTTCCTAAGGATATCGAAGTTTATGTAAAACGATAAATAAACACATCAAACATATATATGCAGAGATAAATGATGTCTAGTAGTCTAATTAAGGATGCATGTCTCGTTTATAGTTTTGATATTAAATTATTCAAATGAGTTATCTGTTGAAATAAATCAGCGTAAGATATAACACAGTGGATAAAGGTTCAAATTACTTGTTAATTAGCAGTTGCCATGGTGTGGCTGGTTGTATTCCATTTTTGTTTGTTAAAGATATTCTGACTAACCTAATATAATATAAGGTATATTAGAGAATAAACTGGTAGTGTAGACTTGATATTTGTTAACTTACTTATTTATGCCTGTTACCCCTCATAGATGAGTATAGGTCGTTCATGAGCATTCTCCATCCAACTGCATCCTGGGCAAACCTTTCCAGTTGCTATTCATCCTTTTCATGTCTTTCCAATTTCCGACACAGTGTGTTCTTTGGCCTTCCTCTTTTTCGTTTACCTTCAGGATTTCAAGTTATCGCTTGGTCGTGATGTAGTTTGATGATTTCTTCAATGTATATCCTTTCCACTTTCAGTGTCTTTTTCTAATTTCCTCTTCAGATGTAAGTTGATTTGTTCTTTCTCACAGTAGGCTGTTGCTGATGGTATCTGATCTACAGATATTGAGTATCTTACGTAGAAAATTATTTATAAATACTTGTACTTTTTGATGATGATTGTAGTAGTTATCCAAGTTTAAGCTCCGTAGATGCACACTGCTGAGGAGTCCCATACTAGGATGAAATGGTCGTCCAGTGCTCCCAAGTTTTCAATGATGGTTTAGTTTAGATCGACACGTAATTTCCACTGTGAATATATATATAGTTCTAAAACATTTATGTACATTGTATCAAATTAATTGTATGGCTATATCCTGTATTCTTGCCCTAATGATAATCGTTTCAGTTCAGTCATTGCAATTCTGATATGAAAATTTTATTTTGTCTCCCAGAATTAGATCATTTGACAAATACTTCAGTAATATTAATAGTATTTTTAAATGATACAGGAAATTCAAATCTTGTCCTATATTCAAATTTGTTTATACTCAGTTATTTGCATTCAGGTTAGATTGAATGGTTATTTATTCAACTAGGAAGTGTGATTAACTGATTGTAAAGGTAAACTTTAACAATAATAATAACGTTATTATTATGGTGGTAATAATGATAATAATAGCTGTTATGATCTTTGTTGATTGACTTGCTATAAAATCACAGCCTCCTCTCTATCTTTTTGTTCACTTCATTTATTCATTCATTCAATTAGTAGAGTGGAGATCAGCTGACTCAGCTATATACATACATCACTCATAGGAATTGTGTTGAGTTCTGGTTTAAACTACACATTGCCTATCTTGATGAGAAATTTTTGCTGGTGTACGAGTAGGTCGAAAGGAAGTTTAGGGCGGTCAAACCAAACACACGACATCAATCCATAAAGTTATGGACTGTGTGCTCTTGGTCATGATTGATTAGTCCAAACTGTTCAGTTTAAGGTCTAAGTGACTATCGTAACCAGGTGAGACTATACTCTATGAACGACATTTGAGCGATAATAAAGTGACTTTGAAAATGTTCAACTAATCACTAAGATCAACAGAGAATTATCAATTAGTGTGAAAAATTAGGAATATGATTTATAGTTAGGAGTTAGAATTAGAGTTTCATCACGCATTGACATCAACTATAATGGCGAAATGTAATTTAGCTGAGAATTCTATATTGTACCCAAAATATAATATTGAATAGAGCTATGGTGGCCTGCTTGAACATCTGGGCTATCTGTTTCTGCCTTTTAGATATTTCAACAAGTTATCTGTTTTAATTTATTTATTAATCCCACAACCTATTAAGGTTCGTTTATGAAAAGCTTACAACCTTTCGCTGTACAAGTTACAAAAAAGCACAATTAGAGACATCGCGGTTGCTGGCAATATGCAGCGAAAAGAATATATATTATTTAGATGTCGATTCCTGGACTGCCAACTTCTAGCTGACGCTCACTCAATATTTATCGCCAGGATCGACCAAGAAGTAAGAAACGGAAACTTGTTGAAATACTTTTTGCTGAGAATTCTACAGTGTACCAAAAATATAATACTGAATAAAGCTAATAATAATAAATAAATAATAAAACGATAATAAATTTTGCTCCGAAATACATAGGTTGTAATCATAACACTGATATGTTCATCTATAAATTATAGTACCATCGATATTAAATTTTAAAATTATCATTTTAGTATTTGTGCAAACTTATTCTTTTCTTCAGAATCATAATGTTTTATCCGTAACCTTTTCTACTGCCAATGATACCGTTACTACCACTCTACTACTTTAGATTTAATCTCGTTTCGTGTTAATCTAGTGTAACAACTTGAATCGATGCATATATGCTCCAGGTTGTACACGTTACTAATGACTGAGTGAATAAACTTCTTGACGTCAATTTAATACCAATAAAATATCCATCTCAAATAGTGGAATTCTCTTTCATAAATTAGTACTTACTTACATATATACGCCATTTATCCCTCATGGAGGAGCATAGGCCGCTCACTAACATTCTCCATCCAAATCTGTCATGGGAAATCCTTTGCAGTTGTTTCCAGTTGCTATTTATCCTTTTCATATCTGTTTCCGATTCCCGATGCGGTGTGCTCTTTGATCTTCCTCTTTTCGTTTACCTTTTAGAAGTAGTAGTACATATAATAACTTTTCGATTTGGTATTATGATATTGTCAAGACTGACTAATAATCGTTGAATATCCATACTCACGCGCACACATACAAACATAAATAAGACAATATTCATTCTACTTCTATGTTGTATTGTTTGACATTTTCTTCTTTTCCTATGTTCTTTACACAGATCCTGGTCACCGGATTTAATCGATAAACATCATTGCGCATGCTTTCCATCAGAAAATCAAACAGATTTTGAAAGATTATCAACAATGTATGAAACGCATCCACTTACACATATTCCATTAGTTGGATTCAATTCAACTTTTGAACCAGAATCTGTACAAGATTTGATGGAAGTAAGTCCACACATAATGCTTTTTTTTAAAATGTTTTGAATGTACATTAGACTGTCGTTTTTGTTGAATATGTTTATGTGTACATAAATGATTCATTCCTCTAATATCTACAGTGTGAAGTAGTGGGTAACTTAATATCTTTAAGGCGTTTGACTTTTATCCACATAGCTATAGGTTCGAACTCCATTTCAGCTACTTTTGTTTTGACTACTGGGTAGTATGACACTACCCTTCACACCTAAAATATTGCTCATAGCCACGTACATCAACCTGTACCTGGTAAATTCGATAAATATATAATACTCATTGTGAATCCACATTAGTATGTGTTCAGAGAACAATTCTTGTAAGATTTAAACGCTACTGTTGTTCATCCTTTCAACTGTTAACTTTGAATATTTAGAGAGTAGAATCCCTCAACCAACTTCTGATATAATGTATGTGGACGTTTTCTTTACAATTTTGAAATCCAACGAAGAGATCTCTTTTTAATAAGTTTGTTGTCAAGCCCAATGTCGCGAACTGAGTAAAATTAGACATGTACGCCGTGGGATGCCGGCTCAGTGGTCTATAGATTAAGCATTTTTCGCACGCCACACAGAATATTCTGAGCTTGATCCACTATATTGAGGTCGTGGATGTGCACTGTTGAAGAGTTCCATACTTGAACGAAACGATCTTTCAGTGCTTTCTGGTTTTAACTAGTGATCTAGCTATGACCAATTCGTGATTTATATTGAGAATAAATTTAACCGAACAGCGAGTGGAGCTGGTTACATTGGCCGTACGAAGCGCTCACTTGCTAAATGAATATCCGGGAACTAGCCTGAATGGTTATCTAAAACAAATCATTCGACAGCTCAGTTGTCATATACATGATCAATTCAGGTCACTACCCACATCAAATATCTGTATCCAAAATCTTCCACAAGTAAGAAGAACTGGTTCAAAAAAGGTTTGGATGAGGAATTTATACACAGTGGAGTCTACGGCAATTCACCATTTCGAACCCGAACTCTGTGTACAGAAGAGTCGCGTTCAGTCTCTTATTCTCTTATGGTATTAGCGTTCTTTCGAATTTCGCTAATTACAATTACTAATTATTACCTCATTCCCCTTTACTAAGTGTTCAATTACCTTCCATAGATTGTTACTTTTTATTACTTCCAAAACAATTACATAACGCGAGCCATCAATGATTGTTGATTACTTTGTTAAATGATGCAGACGTTTCTATTCCATACTTGAAAAATTTAATTACTAAGAAATAACATCTTTCTACTTATAAATCATCACCAATATGAGGTTGTGGAGATTGCTAAGTTTTTGATTGGGATCATGAGTCGATCAATGTTAGACCACCATTGAAAACCTGAAATCACTGGACGACCGTTTCGTCCTAATATGGGACTCCTCAATAGTGCACATCCGTGATCCCGCACGCGGTGTTCGGAACCAGAACCTTCAGCCTCGCACGCATATGCTTAACCTCTAGACCACTGAGCCGATATCCAACAGTGTTAATGTCTAACTTTAATCAATCCGTGAAATCGCGCGACCATCCTCCATTGTTTGGTGTAGATACCTGTCTTCACCTGACACGGATTAGCTCCACTTGAAATATTTAAAGATTTTTGATCATTTCGACTATAATAGTTAACACCGCTTCATTCTGATGGACCTCCGCTTGATAAGTTTGGTGATCTTTGATTCTTTTGTAAAACCCCTCTATTTTATTATAGACTACTACATGTAAAAAGTTACCAATAAATACGATTGTAAAGCTTCAGAAAATGATATAGTAGGAAAGGAAATTCTCTTCTCTGGAATGTCTATTTTGTTATTGAGTCAAACAACAAGTCTGTAAAGTTGAATTATCAATGATTATACTCACTTCATCCGACCGAAACGTCTTTCACAAATTCTAACCCTAATTACGTTGTTGTTGTTGTTGTACAATTTCTTGGCACGACAATTCGTTTGATATGTTGAGCAAAACATATTGAGTTCGAGCCCTGTTATGAATGTCTACACTGGGATATATAGCTTATTCAGCTGGTTGAGTTTTGAAGAGAACGAAACATGTATCCACCGTATTTCCTTGCTAGCCCTTAATCCACTTGCATACACCAAGCCAAAGTGTATCATTATTATATCTTCTATATTCTCTCCAGCTTGTTTATTTTTTATCTTTCTTTCCTCTTTTTCTCATTTATACTTAGAAACAAATTGATTGGGAGGCCATTTCACGTGGTCGTTACTCTTGGAAATCACAAGAATATCAAGATTTATGTGTACAGTTGAATGGTACATGGATAGGCAAAAGTTGTCGACCATTTTATGTACCAGATGTGTTCTTCTTTTCGTGTATCCTATTTATAGCAACATTTGTGTTAGCCTTTACAATGAAATCGATGCGAAATTCATTATTCTTTCCTACTCGTGTAAGTGAAATTTGAGAGGGATGCGTGGTGGAGAGGTGGCTACATGAAGACTTATGGGAAGACTTTGTTTTATTGTTTGCGATCCCGGGATTTTGTTGATTTCAACTAGTTTTAGTTGGGGTTTTCCTTTCATCATCTGTTTCTAACATGAAATGTATTTAATTTTTAATGCAGTTCCCTAGCTTACATCATAAACTGATCTTAGCTGGACTACCAGTAAGAACTTGGCAGCACTACACGACCATCAGACAGTGATCCAGGCAATGGATGAAGATTACCCAATATTGTAAATTGATTGAAGCTGGATATGTACACCATTGTATCCTGGTTCAGTGGTCTATAGGTTAACCGTTGTTCATACGCGAGACCAAAGATCCTAGATTCTGTGACGGGGTCACAGATGCGTACCGCTGATGAGCCTGATACTAGAAAGAAACGGCCATTCATTGCTTTTAGGTTTTGAATGGTGGTCTAGCTAAGGTGATTTCATAAGTTGTGGGGAGTTCACTTATTTATTAATAGTTGTCAATTATATCATTAAAAGTAAGGGTTAAATTATCCGGTTGTTGACATTCAAGACCGATATTTAGTTAGTCTTTGTTGGCTCATGTGCATCCTATGAAGTTTTACTCGACATAGCCATTTTGTTACAAGCTTTATAGAATAGATGGGTGGTAGATGATAATGGAATCCAACCTCAGAGATATTGAGGATAACTGAAACCATTACTAATAATGTTATAAACATCGCATCCCTTTGAAAACATTAACGGTTAACTAGATTCGGTAGCTCAATGCATTACGCGTTAGGTGTTTAAAGCGATAGGCAGTGAATTTGACCGAGTCTTAATGTGAACATTAGTGTAACAATGCAGGTGTACCCTGCTGACTAGTCCAAAATTCATTGAAATGAATATCGCGGGTTCTAGTTGTAAGCATAATCTTTTACATTCAATGTTTCCGAATGGTAAATTTGAATAAAGCAAGAACAATAAGCCGAAATTCATTTAACTTTTTTTATTCCCATCCGCTGCTTAAAACAACCTATAAAGAATAATAATAATTATTTATAACCAATATACAAACTATTTTATATAATATTAGAATGAAGTTTAGTAAAATAGTGACAATAAACATGGAAGTATCATAGATCGGTGAACTGTGTGAATATTTATTTCTTTACAGCTCGAATTCACGAGTCGATCTAAGCAAGACCACCACTGAAACCTGGAAACACTGGATGGCCGTTTCGTCCTAGTATGGGACTCCTCAACAGTGAGCATCCATGGTCCCGTGTGTGGGACTCGAACTCATGAGCTTTGGTCTCGCGCGCGAACGCTTAGCCTTTAGACCACTGAGCCGGAATCCAACATTGTTAGTGTCTAAATTCAATCGATCCCTGAATACTTGTGTGTTATTAATTGTGAAAATTCTAAAACACACAGAAACACGTTTCTGGTGAATGAATATTGATGTTTAAGTTGTTATGTAACTATAACAATAAAATTTAACACAGATGAGTGAAACTTAAAACGACATAAGTATGAAAAGGGATTTTCTTTCATTGAGAATACTAAGTAAGATATTGCATAATTCAATAATGAAAACTAGAAGATACCAGGGTAATGATCGATTTATAACTGATTCCCTTTAGCTTAATTTTTTTAAGAATTTCAATGACTTCGGTGTAACTTAGTAGATTTGAAGTTGTTTAACTAGTGATTACTTTGAATGATTTTTAAATATCAACGTTATATCCACCATCAAGAACATGAAGTTAAGTTTTTAATTTTAATTTTTGTGGTATATGCTCCGAGATGGGAACATAAATTTTCTATACTATATAAAAAAACTATCAGTTGGATTTTAACATTTAAATAGCCTAGAGAAAAGTTTGGCTCTCATTGGAACTTGACATACAACATCTCTCTAGTAAATTATATGCATACTCAATGAGCTGAGTCAGTCAGTCAGTCAGTAACAACGTAGAACTTCGTACGTACGTACATCAGTTCGAGTTGCCACACCACATTAGCACAGAGATGCAGTTGTCGATTCAAATCCCGTAGTGGCAGAGGTAGTAAGAGTATAAGCAGTAATCGGAAAGATTAGGTTTGGAGATGTTATTTAAATAGTATAATCCAGTGAAATAAATTTAGAAAGAGAAAAAAAGAGACTAGGAGGAATCAGGAGATTAGAATTTGGGAGAACACAAAGAGTGTATGCACCTGCGCCATTGCAAACGATTTTCAGCCAAGTCATTCAGGGTCTCTAACCATCGGTTGTTATCATCTCGTGGTCCCCAACCAGGTAGTCTACACCTACCAACATGACTCAGTCCACTTGTCAGTGACTTCATGGTACTGTGACATGTTTTGGTCTAGCCACCCCTAGCTTTCTTCCAACCTACTCCAACACCAGAAAACATCGCACGTCGGGGCAATCGGTGGTTCGGCATACGTAACATGTGATTGATTGTCCCAGCCACTTCAAATGATGAGGTTTCACTACTTCATCAATTGATTTGCCATCCTTGCCTAGTACCCGTTTCTTAACAACCGCGTTAATTACTCGATGGTCCAAGGATATACGAGCAATGTTTCGAAGACACCTATGATCAAATACTAGTAAACTATAAATATCCTCTACTCTTACCGGCCATTTTTCACTACCATAAAGTAGGACGGAACGAACTGCTGAGCTAAAGAAATTTGAGAAATACTCTCCAGAAATGCATAAAATCTTGGAAGTTGTTTATACAGCGATTATGTACCAAAAAAATAAACGGTTCCTGTCAAGTCGACCAAATGTTTCATTATTGGTACTGGCAACTAATCTAAAACAAACGAAGTTAACCTCTGATTAAATTTTTACGGTAGTTGTCGATTTACTGAATCAAGGAAAAACATTGGTTTTCCCTTCCTTCTTCCATACTTCCTGTTGGGATATTCAGGAAAATATCCCAAAAATTATCCTGTTAAGCCTAATGCTATCCTTGGACATGAAATGGTATCATCTTATTGGTCAATATTTGTTTTACGTGTCATTTTCCTACTGGCCATTATTGCACAATGTTATTTTCTATTTTATGGTACGTTGTGGTCTGCTTGACTGGTATATAAACAAAGTATGTTTGAAATATAATGATTCATATATCCGAGGCTGTGACTTGTATTCTTGACTCAACTGACTACTGGGCTAGACAGGGAAGCGGGGCCAGTCAGAATCCTAGGTCGTTCTACGTGTTTGCGCGTCTTTGGTCCGATCAATAATTCGCTACCCTTAATCCGCAGCATTTTCACGTTATAATACTTCCCAATCTCATTTTAACTGAATTTTGTATTGTGTTTTAAAAATTGATTTCAGAATTATTAAACTTTAGGATAATGAGATCTGATTTTTTCCCTTTCCCTTTTTTTGTTATTAAGGTCACAAACAATTGACCTTAATATCTGTATATATTTGTGTTTAGTTAGATATGAGAATAACTTAAGCAAATCATTGATTGATAATAGACAGGAAAATACTAATGAATTATTTACTAAATTTTATAAACTAGTTAATTGAATAATTAAGATCAATTTAAATCTTTGGACATTTGTACAACAGTCGAGATTCTCATAATTGACTAAAGTCACTTGACTAAAAAAAAATAGTTAGAAAGATAAGAAAGTGAAATAGCTGGCGTCAACATCACCACTGCCTCATAAATATTTCTATATATGTTCTATAAGTCTAATCTGATTGGCCAGTGTACACTGTGTCACTAAGATTCTTAACATACTAGGTTATTGTAATTTTTTCCGGTTAGATGGTTTGTAATCGATTGATAGTTTAAGCTTAAAATTTCAGTTTTGTGTTCTAGTCAGTGTATGCATTAAAATGATACGTATGTATCTGCAATCTTAGTAGAATCGGTGCTGTATATGAGATTTTACCCATTATTGTAGTTAGGGATGCTATATCACTTATGAGCTATCCGAACATCCCTTTGATTTGTATATAATTTAAATAACACTTTCTCAACGGGTTATTTATTTTGTTTGTGCTTTATTGATCAGTGGTTGGAGATAGTCGATAGGATACTCTGTGTTTTTTAATACAAGTTTCGTGCTAGTTGACAATCATTACCAAAACTTACTTAAATCCTGATACGCCTCACACCTCCCGTCCAACATCATAGTCTAATAAGCAAACATTGAGTTACTATTCGGTCTATGACTGACGACCGATTGGTTACTGAATAGTAACTAATATCATGTTTATCTAGTCATTAGCAAATTATATTGACCCAATTGTGATGAGACCTCTGCTAGTTTGAATGATTCCATACACTATATGCTATGTTATGATGTTAGGTGGCTGAAGGTAGCAGTATTTTGTTATAATTAACTGTTTATTCATTGTTACTTTATAATTATCCACTCTACCTATCTATCTATCCATTACTCATACACTTATTTTTGTTCTCTCTCGTGTAAATATCCATATACTTTAGGTACGTCAATTAATATCAGATTTCTCAGTGGTAATTGCAATTGCGATCGGTACTACAACAGATTTCTTGATGAATTTACACACACCGAAGTTGTTGGTACCAACAACATTTGAACCAACATTGGGTTATAGTGTAAGATATTATTACTATTGATCGTTAACTGTTATCTTTTGGTTATTCATGTTTTTCCTTATTCATTAGTCAATTAATTCTCTATCATTCAGCTGAGAATACACAACATCTTCAAAAATTTTCTCATCTTCATATACAAAATATTCTTCATCATTTCAGTATGAAATCAAGTTACAGGTTATAGGTAAACAGTGAAGAATTTATCAACTTCCAAAAGATGAGATATTTTTTAACATTCTATGGATATAAAAAAATTCTAGTTGAAAGAGTCTTGTGAAAGTCAAGTTAATTTCTTTCATAGATTAATCACAGTTGAAGTATTGAACAGCTGTTTCTTTCTAATATATCATCATTCCAATAATGCAAATCTACGACTCTACTGGGAATCACAGTCATTGATCTATATTTTTCTGTAGTATCTCGAATCAGACCAATCTTTGATGAACCAAACTTATAAATTTAAAGAAGTGGTAATATCAAATCAATAAATAAATATAGGTGAATGTCTATGTACCAAAGGGATAGTAATTTACCATTTATTAGTCAGCTACTGGGATTGAAATATAAAGTTAGTTGTATTTGATCTTATGAACATTAGTAGTCAACTGAGACGACCTGAATTCTGATTATTGTTAGAATATGTGTGCATCTTGTGAAGATTGCTTCAGTATTCCTATTTTGTAAAAAATGCTTAAAACTGATGGTCTTTGGATAGCATTGAGATCCAGAACGCTCGTTTTGTCCTATTTGGATAGACACTCATTTGTGCAATGGATATAACAACCAAAACTGATCAAATTTTAGTCAAAATATAGACAACGGGATAATCCAAATTATTAAAAATGAAGTGAAACTTTTTTATCTAACCTATTATTATAATTGTTATTACTTTGTAGAAACGTGGCTGGTTCATACATCCATTCGATAATAATCCATGGTGGACATCTATTGTTGCTATCGGACCATCATTCCTGGCAGTTATTTTAATTTTTATGGATCAACAAATTACAGCGGTCATTGTGAATCGACGTGAGCATAAATTGAAGGTAATCAACATTTCTTCAAAATTCATTTCATTTTTTTGAAGAAAGACTGTCAGTTGTATTCCTCAGAGATTGGTCTTACACTAGAGTATTGTTGAAAAGCAAGAAAGACTAGACAACTTATTCGTTCTATTATGGAGGTTCTCATCAGTGTACACCTATAACGTCATCAGGGATTGAACCCAGTACTTTCAGGTCTCGTAGCTAGCTCCTAGCTATCGGATCACTAGGTTAATATCAAGTAATATACGACCATCCACCACAGACAATGGATAAGGGTTGGACATTATCGTGAGTTGATTGAGTCTAGACATCTACACCTCTGGGTATCGGCTCAGTGGTCTAGAAGTTAAACGTTTGAGCACGAGACCGTGGGGCTTCAGTTCGATCCCTAGTGGCAGGGTAGCGATAGAGCACTGCCAGTGGGTTTCAAATTAAGGCGAGACGACCGTCCAATGCTCCCAGGTTTTCTATAGTAGCCTACCTAGAATCAGTTTGTGGTTATAACTCTGAAAATACAGTAAAATTCATGAATCCTATATGATTTTCATAGTCATTTATACTTCATGACATCAGAGACTGATATCGTCTCCTGTCGTTGATTTGTAAGTTAGACTTTACGCATTCCATTCACGTTGTGAGTCAATCAATATATAAACCAGTGTATTTTAGACTATTTTGATCATCGTCGTCGTCGTGTTTTGGGGCTAATAAATCTTCACTTATACCAGTCTTTGAGTTCTTCCTTTCGCATCTCGGGAACTGCCGTGGTCCCCCGTTCCGAGTATAAGTGATTAGCGCTTTTTCCGGCACAGCAATCAGAGACGACTAACATAACAGTAACATTATTGTTTACAAATGAATTATTGATAGGTCTTAAAGTAACCAATCGCCTGACCAACTAACTAGATTTCTTACAAACTAAAGATATCAAACGCACACCTCTAATCAAAATTGTAATATTTTGAGGTAGATTATGGTCCTCGTGTGGTACTCCTTCTCGGTGCCTATTCATTATCCTATCAAGAATTCAATCTACAGTTTCATAGCGAAAGCTTAACCCCTAGACTACTAAAGCGGGATCCAATGGCATATGTTTAGCTTCAAACAACTTACGATTTAGTCCAGTCATCTCTCAATGTCACTGGTGGGTAATTGACATACAAAGGGTCCTAGTGGGTAGCCATGATCAGTGAAATTCAACCAAACCAGTTAATTCATCAATGACATTAGAAGATGGTTGTACTTTATCTCAAGTTCATTGAAGTCAAATCTAAGTTTTCATTTTTCCCTGTCATATTGAATTAAAGGTGTTTCATTTTGTTTTGCTCAGTTGCTTTTTTGTCTCCATTAATTTTGTATAAGGAATAAATTATTTTGCCTATTGATTTCGTCCCTACCCTTTAGTGATCCCAATCTATCTATCTATCTCTCTCTCACATATATATGCATATTATAGTCTCTCTTGTGTACACACACATACACTTCATTTGTTCCTTTCAAAACAACAATAATATTTACTAAACAACTTTCCACAAAGTTGTAATTTAACTTCCTACACACATTCAAACAATAAAATTACCCCCACCCCCGAAAAACATATGAGGAAGCTAGAAAGTAACAACAAAAAATCGATAAACATAAATTGACTAAACTAGGTAAAAGACATAAATGGACAGAGAATAATAATAATAATAATAATAATAATAATAATAATAATAATAATAATAATAATAATAAGGGATATTTTCAAGAGCACATAACACACACACACCAACTATTCTCACCAATCCATCGTTAATATAAGTTATTATCACTCATCATCATCGTCATTTGGTGTGTACAATTATTTTGCTTTATACTAATTAACAGGAATCAATTTTACTATTGTTATTAATCCAATCGAAGCTAACTGGGATTTTTAATAAAAACTAGAGAAAAAAGCTTTGAAGTATTGTTGTCGTCATTTTCTTGGATCCACAGTTCTGTAATTGACCAGTTTCTACTGCTATGTTCTCATCTTGAACGGATTACCTCAATATAACATTCGGTATATTCCTATTAGCGAAATCCGTGATATATGTGTTGTTCCGTTTTAGAATTATCAACTGAGATGTACAATGCCATAGTTCTGCGTTGATTGTCGTACCGAAATTGAAAAATCTACTGACAGATATCTGGGCACAATAGCTTAGTGGATAACTTGTTTGATATTTGAAGCGAAAGGTACTAGGTCTGATCTTCAGTGTGATGAGCATCATTACTGCTTTGCAGGTATATTCAATTGATGAAACTCGTCCACTGGATTCCCCTGTTATCCTATATATTTCATATACATTGAAACTTTAAATAACTTCATGAAATATTAAGGGTTATTTATTTAGATAGGGAATTGAAGAAAACAGATATTTCTTAAAATGATCCAGCACCTGTGCTACCTTTGGTTTGCTGTGTTAATAAAAAATACTGAACGAATAGGGTATCTTGTAATTTTTAATTGTTGATTCTATGTCCTAATGATTACTGATAGACCAATTATTATGCCATGTTGTAACCCGCTGACAAATATCACATGCTAAGTCACCAATCAGAACCTTACCTCTAATTCGGTCTGTTATTTATTCTATAGTTTAACGTCTCTGACTTGGTCAGTTATAAGCTCAACCAACACTATTGACCCTGAGGTAGCAGCTATCCGCTAGCTCCTCTCTCTACTCACCGTTTAAGTCCAGAATTAGCAACCAGCCTTTACTATATTTATATTTCATACATACTTTGCTTATATACAAGTACACTATACTGTCGCATCGCATCACAAAATGAAAAATAACAATTATACGTAGACAAGCCAAAAGTGGCTATGAAAATGGGAGAATGTGTGTAAGAGACTGAAAACAAATTAAAATATGGAACGTACGATAAAAGGATTACATAGACATAGTAATCTAGGTATCCGGTAATTATACAACGAAATTATAATTAAGAATAATTTGAAAAACTATTCCCAACTTTTACAATGTTCTCCCGGTTATAACACTAAATATGAATACATTCTCTATACATATGATTTTAGTAAAAAAAACCCTAGAAGTTAGGGGGATTGTATGAAATAACGATGCAATTGAAGTGTCTTATATCTGACCAATTTTGATCGTTGTTTTCAATAAAGGAAATAGATATAACAAAAATACATCATCACAAACAGAAAGTATATTGAAAAGAATAAGATTTTCGTATTGTAAACTTTGTAAAATTAACTAATTCAAACCATACTAAATCTTAATAATAATCAGAGAAGAGTTTTTGTGGATGTTATGGTAATTTAAAAGTTGAATTCATAAGGTGGGATCGTGGGTGTACACTTCTAAGGAGTCCCATACTATGACGAAACGACCGTTCAGTGCTTCCAGGTTTTCCATGATGTTCTAGCTTCAATCGACCCATGAGTTCAGCTATTAAATAATAATAATAATAATAATAATAATAATAATAATAATAATAATAATAATAATAATAATATAGACACACCTGTTTTATCAATAAAAGATCGAGAAGGAAGCTTTACCGATTAAAACCGAATCGAGCAATATATATTTATTTATTCATATATACAGAAATATATACGTCTTTGTTTCTTAAAAATTAGAGTTACACATTCAATCAATAGTTTCTGTCTTGCTCCGTAGAAAAGGCATTCAAATCTTAGCCAATAGTGTGAACTTATCATATGGCCAATGTTTGATTGTCTCGAACTATCAATTACATTTTTACTTTTCTGTGTTTATCTTTAGATTAATGATGTTCCTCTGGTGTTTGTTTATATGTGTCTGCGCATGTACACAACTGATTATATCGTCTCAGCATTCTCTCGATAATCCGATTAACCCTACTATTAATTAGATGATATTAATTATTCAAAAATATTTAAAATCCAGTCAATCACTGTTCTCTGATAAACAAAAATGGCATTCTTTTCGTTTTATGTTACCTTCTGTTTAACTCTCCCTCTCTCTCTGTTCTATTTCAGAAAGGAGCTGGTTATCATTTGGATTTACTTGTTGTCGCAATTACTATATTAAGTAATTCAATCCTTGGAATCCCATGGTTTGTCGCAGCAACGGTCCTGTCGATTAATCATGTTTTATCATTGAAAAAAGAATCCGAAACAAATGCTCCTGGTGAACGACCAGTTTATTTAGGCTGCAGGTAAGTCTTTACATGAATATATACGACGTGTATGTGATCATTTTTCTACATGTGAGAGACTGTTGATCAGTGGAATGTGCTTAGTAGGTGATGGCTATTTTATTTCAACATAAATTTCCTAAGAATTCTACTTCTGGGGAAGTAGAACTTTTGAGACTGTCATACGAAGGATCGTTATAACCTTGTTACGCAATTATTAGACGTTCAGACTGCTGTATTTTTAGATTCTCCTATTTTTAGGCTTCCATCGAACCTATAAACGGTCATCATACGTCTCACTATTCCAGATTAATCACTAATCATCCTCCTATTACCCTGGATTTGCATTACCTATGACTACGTTATGGGTGTATTGTAATCCCTTAGTTGTGTTGTTGTGTGGTAAAGCATCTCAAGCATGTTATCGTACGAGTTTTGGGTCATAATTGAATTGAAAATAATAGTAAGGAAATGATCAGCTGCTGGTCTTTGTCTTGTCATTGACCACTCACTGGATTAGACGGAGCTTGAAGACCAATAAGTAGTAACGCCTTGATTGTTGTTTATTGGTTGATGTGGCAATTGATACTTAAACGGTTACCAATCCTATCGCCAATATAATTGAACTAATCGATAATCGAACTCGAAAGAAGGAAAGATCATACAACTCCTTACTTGTCATCATTACAAAAAAGAATCCGTTTCGTTTTCCGAAACGACAGTGTTCTAATTTGTTAATTCTACAATTACCAAAGAACCATATCAGCGTACTAATTGTTGGTTAATTTTGAAAAAAAAGATAATTCATCGTCTAAACTGACCACCTTCAAGTAATGAATGATATTCGGAGTTACTATTTCCATTTTGATATGAACTTTCTATAAAAAATCTTTTAGACGTGAAAAACATACTCATATTTCTAAACTTTCTAGGATTCATTTCTTAAATACAGAGAGAGAGAGAGAGACTTAAATTATTATGTAAACAAGATAGTCTTGTTTGTCGATGGAAACTTTGACTAATAATCAGAGTTTGTTTTTGGAATACATTTCATTAGTTGTAAATGTCAAATATTACTGAAGAACTGGTGTATGCCATAATATGCAGTTTAATTAAAATTGAATTATCATAATTAAAATTACCAATTGATCTCAGCTAGAATATTAGTGAAAACCAGTGAGTAATGGACAGCTGTTTTATTTCATTATGGGGTTCCTCACTAGTCCCCATCCACTATTCTACCAGAGACCGGATCCATGACTTTCAGACCTCGAGGTGACCGTCTAACCTTCAGATTGCTAAGTTGGCATTCTATGGTTTACATTTCTTACTTAAATTGATTCAAGATGTTGCAAAATCATCTAATAACATTGGTGATATCACAAGTATGGTAATCACATTGCATTTATTTAGCAAGAATTATACCATTTCTGATAGATTGATGGATCCGACTCAATATTTCCGAGGATACAAAATGACTGAGAATGATTTTCATCATTTTACGCCACTTGTAGTACTAGGTGGGATGCCATCTGTCCATTCAATAGCGAGTATACTCTTTAGCATAGATCGCTGTCACTAAATAGGTGCAGATCAATTTAAATAAGGAAATTTAGTATTTTCTCTTTGCACGGATAGAGTGCAATAATTAGATAATACTATGACTTAATATCTTAGATACAGACTGAATGACGTTACATCTAAAGACACAATTCACAACCAACAGTTAAGATCCAGATAACTATCTAGACAATACCTTATTTAATACAAATGCTAGCAGTCCGTCAACACACACAGAGCTGATTCCATAACGAAACCTGTAGTGCAAATCAATCATAAAAAGAAGAATATACAATATCATATAGTGTCGCAAGATTTAGCAAAGCTGATTGTCTGCTTTTTGTTCGCTAGTCAATTGCAAATTAATTTCGCTGATCATACATTAAAATCATGACCAATCAAGGGACAGTTATGCGGAGTTATCATTGTTTAGAATTATTTCTGATACTCCATCTTCTTTCAATCAGTTTATCCTTGATTATAGTTGGAAATGTGTGTACACTTGTCTAACTACCTAATGGTCCTGAGTTCGATCCACATCAGTGTCGTGGGCTGTAAACTTGTGAAGAAGTCTCACACTAGGGTGGAACAACCCTCTAGTACTTCCTGATTTCTGACAATATTCTAATTCGGGTCAAAATGTAGTGAATACCACCAACAAGTTACGGTAATAATTTGTTTACCATCTGAAGTGGTGAAAGGATGGACGAGCTTTCTACAATAAATTTGGGTCTGAGTTACTCACTTTAAACAACTTTTCTGATTGAACGAATTCCTTTAAGAAGTTGGTGAAATAATAACCATTGACCTTAAACATAAACAACCTGTTAATCAGTTCCGTAAGATGTTTTCAATACATGTGTAAAAAGAGGACTCATACCCAGTTTTCTATTTACTAAAATAATTAAGAATCCGATTTTATAATTGTTTTATAATTATCACAAACTTGCCTTATTTTGACAACTACTGAAAAACCAGAAAAGCACCAGACAATTGTTACGTTATGATGTGTAATTCCTCAGTAGTGACAATTCAAATCTACAACTGCATCACAAAAGCTTGAATTCAGTACTCTTAACTATCTAGTTCTTTCCGTTTCTCAATACTTGTCTATCTAAGATTAGTTTATAATTATAAATCATGAAATTCAACAATCTACACAGACTCTTCTATAATATTATTATTTTGTGCAAACTCAAATTCACTCAAACGTTTTAACATATTGATTAAGATGCTTTTTTCTCCGAGAGGAGGGAGAGAGGGAGCACAAATTATGTTATTATTATCTCCTCTATATCACACACTACATAATTTTCATAGTGGTTATTATCTTTTTCTCTCGTTTTTCATCGTTTTCTTTCCTTCTAGAGAACAACGTATCACTGGAGTATTAATTTTCTTATTTATTGGTTTATCTGTATTTATGACTCCTTTATTATCAGTAAGTCATTTAAATTACACATATATACTACTATTATTAGACACAATACTGCCTGTTAACCACAGTTAGCAATATATAAACCGTTGAATGCTAAGTCATTGGTATAAAGGTTGTAAAACCTGATAGTTGTAGATTCGATTCCTGATGGAGTTTTGGATACACAGTACCACTAAATTGTCCTATATTTGAACTAAACAGTTGTTCGTTTATTCTTGGTCTTTAATAGTTACCTAAATAGTATTAGTTCATGATGTAAACTATAAAAATCTGTACTCTTTACAAACCATCTTACACTTACGGATAAATTTATGACAATTAATTGAAACTTCAGTTTAAAAGTCACCAGCTATTGGTTTGAGCACTAATGCAAATTCATTCCCTATTTGTTTTAAATTACTCATATTTTTCAAATTATTTTTTAAAGTAATCGCCTAAACTAGATTGTTTTCATCTACATAAATACACGGCTCAATTTGACCGTCAATAATTTCATAGAGTGATGATATCTTTAGGTTTGGTCATCTTTAGCTGTGCCTCGACCCACCCGTATATCAACCAAGATCAAATGTTAAAGTAGGTGGTGGTTAGACATACGTAAGATCATGTCCTGACTCCATTTAACCGAATTACCATCTTTACTCAATCTATTCATTTAACCTTGGCTGAAAAATATTTTCCAACTTAAATACTCATCCTCTCTAAATAGAGATTTATAGCAAAATATAAATGTCTTTTGGAAGCTTGTAAATCACAGCTATAATTGAAATGAGACACGTATATCAAAGCAAAGATTCTAACGAATACTATTTATAAATAATAATACAATTTGGTTCATTTCAAAACACCATAATGATAAGTAATCGAAGTTTCTTTTTTGACACAATTTTTTCGATGGATCCTTATGTTTTGATGAATCTTCTAATCAGAAAAGTAATTTTAAATTCAGCTATAGGATCATTATTTATTATGTTCCATTTTTCGTAAATTGTCAACTCCTGATTGCTGTATAATCATTTAACACTTAAGTTTATTTAAACAGTCGAATTGTTTCGATTGTAATCTTCACGAAAATATATTTATGAGTTGTATTCATTACTGACTGATCATAGTTTTCATACCATTGTACAGACAATGGATCACTAAACAGCTCTTTATTCCTAGTACGGGGTCTCCTCAGTGGAACTGCCCATCACGATACCCCAAGGAGCGAACCCAAACCTTCAAATCTTGCGGTGAATACTTAACCATTGTAACTACTGTACTGAATCAGCACACAATGGTGTAGTTCCATACTTAAGCAATTTACGACTTATATATATATATATATATATATATATATATATATATATATATATATATATATATATATATATATATATATATATATGCATACCATTAAGTTATATTTGTTGTTAAAAGGACTTTTATCACCCTATTTTTCTTTCCTTTTCTTACTACTACCACTATTTCAGCGTATTCCAATGCCTGTACTGTATGGAATATTTTTATTCATGGGTATATCATCAATGCGTGGCATTCAAATGTTTGAACGTCTTAGTTTACTATTTATGCCGGTTAAATATCAGCCAGACTATCCTTATTTGAGGTTAGCGACAAATTGTTTTTTTTTCTTGGTAAAAATTGATTTTCGTGAATGTGATATTTTTAAATTTATTGTTTATTATACTTTTGAGTTGTTTAACATCATGCTTCATTCCAATGTCCATTTTGCTAAGAAATATGTCTTTTGAACGATTAGTACTCGCACTTGGAGATTTATTGACCTAATGCTCACAAAAATACAACAATGTAGTTCTGATTAAGATCATGGATCGATCAATGTTAGACCACCATTAAAAACCTGAAATCACTAGACGGCCGTTCCATCCTAGTATGAGACTCCTCAGCAGTGTGCATCCAAGACCCCGCACACGGGACTTAAACACAGGACGCTTGGTCTAGGGTGATTTTTCTTATCTATCCAACACTAGGGATGTAACAAGCACACATACAGTTAATAAGCCCGAAATAGTCTGGAACGCTGACTTTGGATTCTATTACTAACCACAATCTACGTATTCTATATAACTTTTTCTATCTTGAAAAGATCAACATTATCTCTGATAAATTAATTGATCGATTAAATGATTACTGACAAACATTTAGCATGTAAAGCTTCAATTTCATTCTTTCTTTGCAGTAATGATGTTACACTATGTTCTGAATATTGAAATGATAAGACAATATTACTTAACGGTTCAGTTGATAATACTTACTGACTATTAAACATAACCGGTGAAGGTTGAAGATATGCTTAGTAGTAGTATGGTTGCAAGATTGTTTGATCGTAAATACCTTTTATAAAGCATTACACAAGTGTGATTAAATTATCAAAACGTACGTGCTGTGTTGTTTTGAAGTGCTCGTCAATCACAATTGATAGTCATATGTTTCGAATCATTGTTCGCTTTAACATGTTGTACTGCTCAAAATAAGAATACATTTGAAATAAAGCGAATGTTTTGAACTTAAACACGAAATCTGTCGATTTAGTTATTGTCTGAACGTGTCACGTGGCGAATTCATAGCTTGATAAAACCAATCATAGTGATTATATATATACCCTATTTCTATAGATGATACCACAAACTGATATCATTTGACCAACTACTGAAAATCAAAAAGCATCACACAGATATTTCGTCCCAGAATGGGACCTCTCAGTGGCAGCGTGCATCCATGACTAAATTCACCAAGGATATCAAGGTGTTGTGGCTAGTACTTCTTCTCCATATCAGCCAGTCAACATCCAACGGCTTATATTTTCTGATTCAGTCAATTTATGATACTGGTAATTAATTAACTGGTCCACACTCGACACTACTGAACTTCACTGGTTACGAATCTCACTCCTCTCGAAATCATTCACTAGCGGCTATTTAACTTCTTGCGCTTGTGCGCAAGGTATTGGATCCTGTCTTTGATCCCCACATGAAGGGTCGTGATTACCCACTGCTTAAAAGACCCATACAGTGACAAAATGATCAACCAATGCTTCCATATTTTCAATGGTTGTTTACGTTTGATCCGCCAATGATTTCAATTAAATTTAACAATCCTTACAACCCTATACTGTCAGCAAATCTTTATTCGAATTTTTCACATTAATTGATTGATCTGTGAAATGTTTAGGTTCATTCTATTTTCCATTTTACTACTACAAATACTTTTTTAGTTTTATCTCTCCATCAATACCACCTACAGAGTGTTCCTGATTTTCATTATACACCAATCAGTTTACATATGTTGCGTGTACATACGTGTACAATAATCTGACACAATAAAAAAAAGATTTTTGTCCATTGAATCTTGCATTATGTGATTTCACTTAATGCTACCTTTTGTTTAGAGGTTTACATAGTTATACATTCACTGTCATAGTTTAAATCATTAACTGAACTTTGCTAGGCATACTACGATTGAAAATCAGGAAGTACAGGACACACTTCAGAGAATTCCCATGATTTTTTTGTGGTAAGCATTTTTTTAGCAGGGTTTCCTTCCACGGGATGAGGTTGCTGACCCTATGCTCAACCCTCCTCCTCTATTCGGGTTTGGAACCAGCAGTAACCCTAAAAGGGCTACAGGTGGGGTTATAGGAGTCCCATACCAGAGCAAAACCCGTATCCAGAGCTCCCTGATTTTCATTGATAACATATCTAGCTAAGATCAGTTCAGGATTTAAACTATGAAAAATCTAAAATCTCTAAAACCCCCTCCTTTACTAATATTATCTACTTGGTAATAATTTACCGCCTAATCGATTTTAACAATAGTATTAATAATAGTATACTCAATAACCATCGTGAAAACTTCCACTCATTGTAATTCTTACCGTTAGCAGGAGGTTTAATAATGTTCAATCCGAGCAGTCTCTGCTGAGTGACGTAAGTATACACTGGAAGAGATCTAGGATAGGTTAGTACATATAAGTGTGTATGATATCAATAAATGAAATCACTGGTTTCCGGTTTAAGCTATGAATAAAGATAGGTTCAGTCTTCATGATTGACAACCTAAAGATATTATATGGCTTAAGTTCGTCTATAATCATTCAGTTGCTGCGTTTATTGTGTATATTCCTCGTAATATTGAGTTTAATATGTTATTCGCTAATCTTAATTCGTCAAAACCATTTCTTCACTTTAAACTATTTTCTCCCTTTATGATTAGTAAAGTTTCAGATTATCTCTTTGTGCGCTGGTATTTAAGTTTTTCAACACATACCAGTGCAAAGTGATATGAAGTTCTATCTTGACTACGGACAGAATGGTATCACATACTGTGATTTTCTCCTGTAATCCTAATTGCTTAAGTAATTACCCTACTACTTGTGAATAATTTCAGTAGCATGTAATCATCCCAATAAATTGAATTAACTTAGTATCTCACGTCTCAGCATATGAGAGCATCACTGCAACTCCTTGTGTGTGCTGGATATTTCCTTATTCATAAGTAGAATACAACAGCATCTGTCTCAAAGTTAGTCTTTCCTATCCAGCTTGCGTCTAATGGGTTTCACTTATTATAAGTACTGCCAAGTTGTGTCTTTTCATCTCCGTAGCTACTTGAATGGTCCTCCCCGTCTCTCACATTGTGAGGACATTTCATTTACCTATGTTAATTATTGTTCTGCTTGTCAGAAAGAGCATGGGTCTTATGATTGCTGATGAACTTCATTTTTCACCCTGAGGCGTCATAACTCTTCAAGATGAAGATCCTTCAACTCCCAGGGAAGAGTTTAAATGGTTTAAACAATGTTTATGATGAGCGATATTTTAGCAAGGTCCTTTTCTAAAAAATGCATCTGATGACCTAACACCTGACATTCCTCCTTCATACTGGCTTGATACTAGGTGTATCAGCTTAAACACACAATTAAAATAAACTTTTAAATAGTCACCGTATATGGAAAGTTAAATTAACATGTCAGTTTTCAAACCCCCTCAGGTAATAAATGGATCTAGTCGACGACCTCTAGATTGCTGTTTATAAATGCAACCACTAAGTTTGTTTAAACAATAGTCGCGGGACACAGCCAGCACGCATATTTATCGGGGACGTCATCAAAAGGTTACATTTATTCGGTTACACATCCCGTTCTTTCGTGTTGTCCAACTAAGTAGTAATCGGAGTCGAGCTTAAATGTTTTAGTCATCAGCAAGTAATCTAATATCTTTAAAACGATTTTGAAGTCGCTTATTAAGTAAAATTAATAAAAAGTTATAAGTCATGTACAATGCATCATTTAATAAAGCGTGATGTGTTAATTGATGTAGAAATATATTTGTATGAGGTCAAAGACTCAATACCAAACCATGCAGTCACTAATATTTGCTCGAGATTCTTCGAGATGTTAGAAATTAAAAGTTGAAAGCAATAATTTGTAATTCTGTGGTCAATATCCATTAATTTCGATGATTTATTGGCCTTCTAGTGAGACGGTTAACTGACTACCTTAAATGACGACCATCTCAGCTGAAACTTTAGAATATACCACACAAAGCATCGTTATCCCATTTTTATCGTATAATTAGTAGATAGCTGAATAATTCTTTTCTATATTCCCTTTATTGTAAGCTACTGTTTGACCTACTAACTATTATTAAACGTTTCATTATTCTCCAATTAATGCTGATTAATCATCTACCTTTTTCCTCATTTCTCTCTAAATTCGGAGTAGTTATGCCTAAATTGATAATTTATATTCATGCTGATAAGCGATCAGAAAATTAATATGTTATTATATGAGTTGATTCACATGAGAAAAGTACCTTTTCATTACCTGCTTACTGTGTTCTGTTATTGTACTGAAGACTGAGCTAGAAGAAAGGCGTACATTCTAAACCAATGGTAATTAGGATTATTTTCGGCCTTAAACTCAAGGCTAAACTTGATAATCGAAGTACATAGTTTGTCGGACCTTAGAACACTAGACGATAGCTGAAATAGTATAACCGAGGTTTGAGAAATTATAACCAAGATTCTGATTAGCTAATCTATTCTTTAGATATTACTTACGTCTCAGTCATAACAACTCCGTGATATACAGTCTCTTCTTATATATTTACAAAAAAGTCCCTAGTCTTTAAGATGTTTCTTTGAATGTTTTCGCACCAAAATTGTTTCTCATCTGATGCAAAGATTTAAATAAATTTCAATTTTAAGGAAAAAATGTCATTAAATTATTCAGTTAGTCAAATTTTAATTGACTAATTATTTAAAAAGTAGTTTGCTTCTTCTCTTTCTTTGTATTGGCCATGATTTACTTAACTTCATATGGAATTATGATGAATTCTCGCGATATTAGCTAATTAGTCAGTCACTAGATAGAACCTAGTACGTATGTACCGATGGCTTTACGTGCCGATGTCATGTTTTGATTTGGCCTCCCCCAAGCTTTCTTCCAGTCTACTCTTACACCAGACGACATCGGCCCTCGTGGTAGGCAGAGGTTGCACTCAATAATAATAGTCATTATTTTAGTAATATTCCTCATCTATAAGTAAATCGGAGATTAAAAAACACAGTTAACCCTTTACCCCCCCCCTAGTTATTTATCTGAGAAAATAAGCAATACACCACATTATCAAATAATATAACGTAAGCAACAACAAAAAGAAAACAAGATGCATAAAATCTATTTTTGGCCACAAGTCGTAACACATCTTTCGGATTAAATTAAAATTACTTTTATTCATGAATTCCTTTCTACCAACCGATTGATTTGTAGTTTGGTTTATGTATTTTTAATGATAACCATCCTTTCATTGGTTAGTCGACTACGTATGGCATATATGATGGGTAGAGCTGAAAGATGATTGGTTATTTTGTCATTTATCTTGTATCCTTGGTTTGAACGTTTCTATTGGTTAAACGATGATTTCTAATTTTATCGGTCAGCTGACTAGAGCGTTGGTGTTTTGGGGTTTGTTCGGTCGACATTTTGAAAGATTGGTTTATTGAAAAAGAAATGTTGTGATATTTTAATATCAACACACACCATTAAGTCACAGATCTTAGTAGACATGACACAACTTGATCGATAGGATTCGATCATTAGCACTAAGGCCTAAACAAACATGTTCTAGTTCCTCAACAATCATTATAAACGATTCAGTCCTACAGAAGAACATTCACAATGTAAATGGCTCTGTGATTATACCTCTGATAAGTGAGCATTATGTCATGTTTAAATTCCACTAGGAACATCGGTTCCTCCAAAATTACATGATACGCATTGATGACAAGTGTCAACTAGCACGAAACCAAGATCAATACAGGGCTCCTTGTTGACCTCCTCCAACCACCTATTTGTCTCTCCTTACTAACACCTGTAAGGTACACTTAGAGAACTATATCTCAATAGAATATCCTTATTCCAACTCATTCACTAATTTGCTGCTAAGCGGATTGTATGATTGGTTCAGCATTTTTTTTAAAAATTTGATGTAATTTCTTGAAAAATCGTTATATTCTCCTAGATTATGTTGATTTTTCAGTGAATGATCGATGGAAACAAAAAAAATACAAATGCATTACACCTTTCTCAGTTATTTGCCCCTTTCCTCACTTCTTTTTCTAGATTTTTACTTATATTCTTTGCTACTATTATTCAATTACACTCCCCAGACTTAATCAAATTAATTTTAATATATTACTGACCTATTACTTACTTTCTCTTTCATTGATGGCGTGGCGATGCGCACATTGTAATTTAATAATTATGTCTGTAAGTGGTCAGGAAATTACTTTACATTACTGTGTGCATTTGAGTTGTAACATCTACCAACTATTCCGCAAATAGAGGTCTTGGCTGCTTACAGTTTTCTTTAACCGGATTGAATATAAGTAAATCGAAGAGACTATGTCCCTGATCCAAAATTTGTTTAGATTATCGCCGCCACAGTTCGAGGTTAATCATTGTCATCCGAAACTTATAACTGATCAACACATAAGACATGAGTCTATAGACGAAATAGGTATATACGGAGTAGATAACTATAAATAAATCCATATTCTAATTGTTAAATCTTATCGTATGATATTATTAAAAGTTTAATCATACCACGTACATAAAACTACATCAGTTCGCTTTTTCATAACCCTCCTCCCATACGCACACATGCAGACACACATATAACAATCTGTAGGGTTATCAAAATCTCCAGTGTCTTTTTGTCAGTAGGGATCTAGTAACCCATATCACAATGCAGTTTAGGATATTAATTTATAACTAACCCTTACCAACTAATGAATGTCATTGAAAACGCTGAGTAATGTGACTTGTAATCAGTTGCAGTAGTTGGAATGTATTCATGCTTTCTTTATATTTCTCTACATCTTGAGTCATAGTATTCCTTCATACAATTCTCACTTTTTTTCAAACCATATTCTAAGCGTCTCATCTTAAGATGGTGAAAACTTTTTGTTGCTCAGATGAGTGATTTTGGTGGAGTTTCGTTCCCTGAGCTAAATGGTTTGTGTTTGGAGCTTTAATTGTTCCTTTGAACATAATCAGCACAAAATCCATGTAGAAGTGTAGCATTCAGATTTCTCCGCATATGGCCAAGAGCTTGTCCCGTCGTCCTTGATATTGACCGGGTATTTTGTTCACAAGAACAATTAAAGCTCCACGAATAAACCACCAATCTTAGAGAACAGAAACCCAAAATTAATCCCATTATTATTGTTATAGTGATGATTTTAACTATTTTCTTATTCATCTCTGTGAAATTATATCACGTTTAGTTAATGTACAATGAAAAATAAGTCTAACGCACATATGTATCAGTCTCTATGCTGCTTATAACTACCGATTAACTGACTGAAGTAATACAAATACTTTTTGTTCTAACTTGTTTGTTTGTTTCTTCTCTTTGTATAGACATGTTTCTCTACGTCGAGTTCATTTATTCACGATAATACAAGTTGCTTGCTTAGTTATGTTATGGGTTATTAAATCAATTGAAGTACTTGCTATTCTCTTCCCTATTATGGTAAGTGTTTTTTTTAATTATTTCATCTTATTTCATTGAATAATACTTTGTCTCATTGCATTATTTCCTCATCGAAGTGTTGGAAGTAGGGCTAGAGTTAGGAGTTAGGGATAGGATTAGGACTAGGGTATCTAGCTAGAGTGAGAGATTACTTTTTCTTCACAAAACTCGGCGAAAGTATAGGACAGGCACGACCAGTTAGTTTCTAGCCAATCAGAAGATAGCTTTTATAAATGAATACCTTGTGGAAAAAATAACATAACAAATTATCAAAGCAAACCTTGGTAATGATACCTATATCTTAGTTTGGCTGCCCCTAGCTTTATACTAGCTTGTCGAGATAGGCTTCTGCTAGAGATACGTAAGACATTTGTCAACCACCTCGATCGATGTAAATCAATTACCACATCTACAGACTTGCCATTTTTATCTAGTACTCTGTGTCTAACCACAATATCGCTCATAAGCAGGTAGCAACATACGTAAGAAACGTTTCGGAAGAATCTATGGTCAAACACAGATAGCGTATGAATCTCTTATACTTTTAAAAGCCATGTTTCAAAGCAGAAGTAATTAATTTCAGTTTACCAGACAGGAAACAGTTGTTACACTTCTAGGACCCTTGGTGGCTGCTTTTTGTCTTACTATTTTTAAACCGAACATCTGCCTTACATAGTGAAATCTCGGGGAAAAGGCATCCTAGCCAATACTAGTCTCAGTAGGTCGTCACGATGGCCAATCCTAACCATCACATCGAGGTAACAACTGCAATCAGATTACTACTCATAAGTTGAACGTTGAATAACTAAACTAGAGACTAGTCAAAACTTTTTCTTCATATTCATTGAACAAATTGGTGTATTTTCGATCTGATCTACTACTTCTCTTTGTGATCCAACTTGGGTTTCGGAAGTTGTTGTCCAATATTTTTCTATATTATGTCTGCTGGTCGAACGCTTGATATTGACTGCCTAACCCCTGTCTACACAATCAGATTTCTCCTATAATTAAACCTGAACAGTAATGAAAAAGTGTGTGATAAGCATATAAGCTTTACTTAAAGATTAATTTATTGATAGAAAAGTTTATTTATAGGTTTACAAATGCCTTGACCTACCAAAAGCTTAAGGAAGTGCACTAAATTTAGTAATAAAATAAGTAATTGTCCAATCAAACTGTGACATATAACCATACATTTTTGATGTTTATCGAAAAAGAAGTTTTGTTTTAGCCTTTTCTAGGCTTCTGAACATTGTATTGAAAAATTTTTAACATGCGATGTTCAACAGTCTAGATGATATGGAAGTCTATCAAACACTGTATCCATCAGTTGTATTATCTCTTAAACTATATATTATATTTCACAGATTGAAATCATGAGTCAGTTGAAGCTAGACCACCATTGAAAACCTGGAAGCACTGGACGGCCGTTTCGTCCTGGTATGGGACTCCTCAGCAGTGCGCATCCACGATCCCGCACCACGCGGGGCTCGAACCCAGGACCTACTGGCTTCGCGCGCGAGCACTTAACCATTAGTCCACTGAGCCGGCATCCAACGGTGTTAATGTTTATTGACATGTTCAATAACGTGGATTCGTTGAAGTTAAACATTAACACCGTTGGATGCCGGCTCAGTGGACTAATGGTTAAGTGCTCGCGCGCGAAGCCAGTAGGTCCTGGGTTCGAGCCCCGCGTGGTGCGGGATCGTGGATGCGCACTGCTGAGGAGTCCCATACCAGGACGAAACGGCCGTCCAGTGCTTCCAGGTTTTCAATGGTGGTCTAGCTTCAACTGACTCATGATTTCAATCTGTGAAATTTCTAAAATCTCCACAAAACCCATTCTGATATGTATTATATCATTTAATTATTCATTTTAATAGTGTTCTTTTTTTCTTTTCAACTATATACACAGGTTTTAGCCATGTGTTTCATACGTAAAGGATTAGATTTTATATTTACACAAGAGGAATTAAAATGGTTAGATCAAATTTTACCCAGTACTAAACGTAAACCATTTCCACGTTCATTAGTCACATCTGTGCCAAGTAATAATGATTTTAATAAGGTTAGTTATTTGTATGATATTCTTAAACATTGTACTTTATCATCTATTTATCTAAGTATTATTATTATTATTATCATTACTGTCTTGTTTGTTTTCAGATTGTTTGTTGGTATACATGTGTGCTTGTAAGCCGATTAAAACAACTATGGTTTAAATTCTTTAATCTTAATGATAATTTTTCTGGATTTTTAACCATAAACATTCAATAAGAAAGTGATTGGTTTTTGGTAGGACTACGATTTATGAACGACCACTGTGCCACGCCAAAGTGACTTAGAAAATTCACCTACTAACTAGAGTCTTAAGACGGTTATAAATTAGTGTAGAAAATTAGAATCGAGATTTAGAGTTAGAAGTTACGGTTGGGAAGTAAAATTATAATCTTCATTACAAAGTGACATTAACTATAATGTCAAAATGTTATTTAGTCATATAGATGAGTGAACTTCACCCCGAAATCCAAAACTCTCTATCTTAAATCTGATTAGTTTGTTCATCACTTGTAGTTTCTCCGTTGATTTAATTGTTATCGAAGTGTTTGCCAAATATGTGAACATGTACACCTTTTTTCCGCTCAAATATATAAAGACGTAGCACGGTGAGAAACAAATTATCTTTGGGTGTAACCATTTTCAAACTCAAATCTAAACTAACGACAACGTAATTACTAGAGCTTATTTCTATTCAAAAGGTAATTACCGCATAAATTATTAACCTTCGTATCCATAATAACGGTCATAATTACGACTTGTACCATTTTTAAAATTATTCATATTATTAGGTGACAGGTTTAAGGACTGCAAAGTAGGACAGTGCAAAAATCATTCACTAATGCGAGGGTGGGTATGACTAACATATTTAAACTCCAGTTGTATTGATATTGGTCTTGATTATATACGACAGTGGAATTATCTATTTATCAACGTTCTTCTGACTGGTTTTGTTCGACTTACGCTATAAAATGGTGAGAAGCTGTAATTAGTGGAGCTCCATCAGGTGTGAGGCAGTTACCCAACGTAGAAAATAGAAGATGGTCGCGCAATATTGTGGTTTGATTGAAGTTAAAAATCACCACTGTTAGATGACGGCGCAGTAGTCCTGAAGTTGACGATTTGCGCGCGAGACTGAAGGACCTAGATTTGATTCCAGAATGCGGGATCGTGATTACACAATGCTGAGGAGTCATATGCTGGGACGAAACGGCATCCAGTGTTTCTAGGTTTTCATTGATGGTCTAACAATAATCGGATCATGATTTAAATAAAAATCAGTAATTTTCACAACCCTATACTTAAAATAGTTTTATATCTACAAAAAATTATTACTGTTGTACTAATTAGTCAGATTAAACAGTTGGTAAAAGATATGGTCGAATCGACAGATCTTTGTTCATGCGATCCATTTCTATAAATTCTACCAGCGTGCATATATGTTTAGAATTCAATGGTTCATTATTCGATCAAAATAGAATGTTAAGGTCTATCAGACATTAAAAAAAAGATTAATTCCTAATAATGCAAATATGAGAATGTCATAAAATAATCAAACAACTCTTCATTTATGTCGATTGCCAGACGAATATAATTTTTCCTATTTATGTCTCTGTTTAATAACAGTGTAACTAGTCTCAAGATATTCGTCTCAACTGAATTTACTGTAAATGCCCAATCACTAACACGGTAGCTAGTTCACAATTATCAATTTTAACTCATTTCCTCATCTAAAGGTTCATCAATTTGACCTAATTATTAAATATTTGAAACACTTTAATCAATGTCAAATGACGCTTTTTTACATAAATCCATGTACTCACACACAAATACACATAATTCATTTAGCAAAAGAAATCCTTTACATAACTACGTATTATATGTTGCGTTTCTAAGTTTGATTAAGTTTGACAAATTTGATGCATTTGGGTAAAGAAAAGCGAGAATATTGTCAAGAAATCTAGTGTACATATTCCATCTAGCAAAGTTAGAAATGTAATTTGATTTGATAATACTACAAAACACCTTGAGATAATACAATCGGTAAGTAATAGAATAAACACACTATTCATCAGACTGGTTAATACGACTGATCAGTCGACTGATACACTAGATAATTGGACCACTTGATTAGATTAAGTGATACAGAATTACACAATTCCCCACTAATAATTGATAGTCAGATAATCTGAGATAACACTGTGTGAACTCTAGAGAACGATACAATCAGAACTCAAGTGAATCGTCAGTGAAATCAACACTTTACATATAACAATAGTTTACATTACTAATCACAGATTTGGCTCGCTGTCCGTTCAATCTTATCCTAATTTCACTGGGCACACATCAGAATTTATGCACTTCTTTGTTGTAATCGTAACACAAACTTCACTAGTTCGCTAACAAGATGTCAAAAATACACTTCATTATCATGTTATCAATTATGGTTAATATTTACATTGTACAATACTTGATTTATATTTAATTAAATTCGATTAATATCAGAAGAACTAACTATCGAGATAATTATTCACATTATCAATAAATGCTTACACAAGGTGATAAAAAAGCAAGAAGAATTTCGGTTAGAAGTATACTTATGAACCACTAGAATTTAAGATAGCACACCTTTGGAATTTCAGCTAGAAATTCAAAACACAATGACGAATTGCTTATATCTTGCTTAGAACAAGGTATAAAATGAGTTAAGCCTACAATCATCATATAATCATCAAACCGCTTAAATTTGATAGACATGAAACAACTAAAAAATGGGAAAGAACTTTTTCAATTTTTAAGATGGCAATGGGAAGGTAATTTACAATTGTTTAAACACATATACATGCGTCACACAAAATCTGAGTGCGGACCGTAATACTGTCCGGGCGTTCAAACCAAAACAGATGGTTTTATTAGGAGGCCACTCCCCGACCCTTTGACACGAGGGTCTAGTCATTGGAGCAGCGTTGGGGGATACGATCCTATGGTGGCCGGTAACAACAATAATTTTATGCACTAATTGTTCCTTCAAGATTCTAGAGCCTATGTGCAACTCTGGTTTAGAATCATGGATTCTCAACTCCCCTAGGTGGATTCTTCGTACTTACTAACCCGGTTTAAGCCTTCTCCCAACATTCGCTTTTTGTTTTCTCAACTCCGTTGGCAACAACGTTACCACGAGAAGACTGTGAGTAGTTCCCTGACAGAGGGTATATATGCATGACCATATGCGAGGCGTTCTAGGGGGGGGAGACTCTCCTTTCCCTCGGCCATACCAGGGTATTTGGGGACATGGGAAAGTGATCAATCTTTTGAAGATAGAAATAATTGCAAACAAGCATGATTAAAATATCAATGATTCATGCATTTTCCGAGATAACTGATATATTTATGAGATTTGAAAAAAAAGAACTATCTACTATAACCGTTCATTGATATGAGGCCCTAAAATATTCTCCCACCCTTATTTTTAACCCCTAATTCTAATCATTTTTAGGTTTGTATGTAATATATTATTCATTCACTCTGCTCGCAACCTGATTGGTCAAAGCTAGCCCTACTTTCTTAACAGGATCATTTTCCAGGTCACCAAAGGTCGTCACCATTGGATGTTATTTCAATGATGAAACTCGTTTATATATTTTTAAGAGGTGTTTGCTATTCAGCAAACGTTTATTTTACGGTATTTTCTTCATGTAGCTTTAACTAGTAGATTTTTTTAGTCATGTTGGTTGTTGCTGTCTTTCACCAATCAGAATAGAAAAATTAAAACCAGTTTACTACAAATGAATTGCCGAATTTTATTCAGCAGATTTTATCTGTTACAGATTGATGTATTTCGAAATATCATTGAGAACTAGGCAGAACTGAACAGTAACTGATCCCAAGACCTTAAAGTCTCTCAGTGAACGCTTAACCATGAGAACCATCCTACTGATAACATCTGTCTGATTTCTTGGTGGTGTCGTGAAAGCACACTACTGAAGAACCCTGTACTATACTGAAATGAGGCAACTGTTCAGTCCTCCTTGGTTTTCAGTTTAATCTTGACTGAAATCAATCTGTGATTAATCCAACCTACAGATTGATTAATTCTGTAGAAAGCTGTCTCCGTTACTATTAAATCCTGACATTTGGATTTCACTTTGGGCGTACGATACATGGTAATTTAGGAACGACTACGCTACTCAATATATTATCGTGATTTCTCGTGTTGTGATAAAAACTTTAGAAACACATCGAATTTGTATTTGACCTTATTGGTGGTCATGTGACGAAAAATTGTGCTCAGGTTCAGTAGATTTACTTATTTTTTTAACTCCTGTAGCTAAAATTGGGCTGATTTCTCAATGTGATTCGGAAATCAATATGTCTCTGTCCATTGAACTATTACTGACTTCTTTCCTCCATTTCTTTTTCTCTCTCATCCACTCACTCACTGCACCATTTACATTCCTGTTTTCCAGAACACGAAGTTTTCAAGTAGTGCGAATCTTTTACAAGAAAAGAAAATATCTCAATCAGAAGAAAAGGTAACTATTTCTCTTTTAAAAAAAAGAAATTATACTTCTTATTTTTAAATAGTTCACGGTTTCCTTTTGATCACCTTTAAGCGCCAATAATCTTTCTTCCTGGTTGACACTGAGCAAGGCGTACCTACAATCTTGATAGAATTGATATTCTCTGTAGGATTCGGACCCCTATGACCCAGCTTCACAGAAAGAGATTTTAACACAGCTATTCGAGAACCCAATGGCATCCTATAACACTTAGGTATTTACAAATGATTAATCACTGAATAGTGACCGATGCCATGCCTGTTTAGTCTTTTAGTGCTAACCGAACTCTATCGAATGAGTTGCAAATGTGTGTCTACTAGTCTAAATCGCTCGAGATCGTACGCAGAATATTTTGGTGTTACATGGTTGAAGGTAGTTGACGGAAAACCCTGTTTGGCTCAAGCTTCATGATACCTGACACTCATCAAAATGGCGAACATGTACTCTTGGTAGAACTGATGCTGCCTGTGGAATTCGAACCCGCATCTCCAAGTTTTGCTGCCTTAGTCGTTACCACTAAGGTTTTCGGGCCGCCCTGTCGTTTACCTCAATCTTGTAACATATGAAAATATGACATAAAACTCTGATTCCTAAGACTTGATCGAGAACACTAAGGACCAAACAAATGACAGTGGCTACTACTAATACTACCACTACTACTAAGGTGTATGCAATTTGTGTCTACAAAAATAGTATATAACTTCAGTCAGAAGTGAGATGTCTGGCAGCGAAGTTTGGAAAGATCGAATCGTAGAGAACGGGAACGAAGAGTAATTGCTGTAGCAATGAAGCAACGATGAAGTTTGAGACAATTGATGGGGAATTTGTAAATAAAATATTGAACGTATGGTTTTCACAACTTACCAAAGAACTCTAATTTTTTAAAAAGGCACGCTTGATATCTACATTTGTGTTCCCGTTCATAACACTACTACTAACATTACTACTATTACTACACTACTCAGTAACCACTCCAATATTCATAGTTAAGTATATTTGGTTTCCTGACTATTTTTTTCTTCTTTATCAACTTTTGCAGCGTATCAATATCACAGAAGAAATGTCAAAAACATCTATTTGGCGCCAATTAAGTGGTGCGGATATAAATAATGAGTGTAAAAAGACTTCGTAAGTTTTTGACGTTAGACTTAATTTAATTTTTATAATTGATAGTTCACTTTTAATTTGTCTAGATGTAGAGGTAAAAAGTAAATGCATATTGAATATTTCTTACTCCAACTCTCGCTCTCCTCAACGTTTATCAGTCAGCCAACTAATCGGAATCAAAATAGGCCCTGGCAATTTCAGTCAGTCATAACCAATGTAGAACCTGTTATTTATGTGCATTGATTTAAATTACCATGCTACATTAGCACAGTGAAGTGAAATTATCACGATAAATGCCAGTGAAAATAGTAACAGTATCGATGTGAGTATATTAGATTCGGCATAGATGATATGATCCGAGGAAAAAGAATGAATTAGTGTGATGAAAGGTATAAAATAATTTTGAAACTCACAATTTAAGGGAAAAAAAGAACAAAGCCATTCGGACGATTGTAACCGATTCTGTTCCATGTTCCTCATTGTTTCTAACAAATGGTTATGATGATCATCCGGAACCCAAACATGGTTGTGTACACCTACCTATACTCCCTAGTTCATTAGTTGACAGCTTCCTTAGCTTTCTTCCGAACCAATCCTCGTACTCGCAAACATGACACATGTAATTATGTTGTGATCGGGTCTAAGTTATACATATCCCAACCACTTCAGTTGATGAATATTCACAACCTTCTCAACCGATTCTCCATGTCTACCTAGTACTCTGGATTTAACCTCAATTCTTCTCACTCAGTAGCTGCGACATTTGCAAGCAATGCTTCGGAGACATATGTGATTAAATGCCAGTGACCCACAAATATTCTCTCTTTCAAAAAGGACATATCTTACAGCTATAAATTAGGATAAATTTAATTGCCGCACACTTTTCTTAGCAAGAGACATTTCACCCACTCTACAAATAGTCCGATTTGGTGAGAGTTAAGCCAGTTTTCCAAAACCGTGTACCAAGATTTTACTGGGCTATCAACTCACAAGGGTTGGTGAAACTTCGAAGAAAAGTGAAGTTGTCAACGCACTCAACTATTTCACTTGCAAGCATAAACTATTCGTCAGCTTGCTCTTCTCGATGTTTACTTACTATAATATTGACTGTTTTTATACATAAAATACGTGAATATATGTGCAGAAGGCTTAGAGGAAGTCTAGAGAGTTGTGGACAAATCATGAGTTATCGGTTGGTGATGGTTAGTAGTAGATGGTTGACAAATCTCATTATTCATCAACTAATGGTTTTACAGACAGATGATTAGATATTAACAGGTTTGGTGCTTGAGCACTCGAATTTTTAACAGCTACTAATTCTCCTACAAATGAATCGCTGACGATAGATAAGAGATGGGAAGCATGGAAAGAAGCCTGACTATCAAGGTTAATTTAGTTGTAGAAAGCAGTGAGATTTTGTAAGTTTGCGGATAGTGTTGATATTGTAGAGGTTTCTGAAAACATCGTTAATTTAATAATAATTTCTATGAAATTCCAATCAGTATATAACATGTTACCCATCTTCTTTCGAAGACTCTCTAGGAAGTTTCCGTTGAAAGCTGACCGAATGAAGTATTTGCATACTTTTAATTTGTAATGACTTTTCAAGGAACTCTCGATTTGTCCCAACAGATTCAGCGCTGTCCGAATAGAATATGTCCTACATATATTACTAATAACTGTGAAGCATATTCCTTGAAAGTTGAAAATATGCATAGGTTGTGATTAACTAATCATGAATAGTGCCTTCGAACCATGGCTCGAGTGCATAGTGAACTTATTAAGTTAATAATTCTGAGCTTGCATGTAGAGTACTAGGTAAATATAATGAATCAGTTTGATGAGGCTGGAAATCATCGTGTCAGTATGACCAAAACATTTGTTATATATCAGTTATAATATACAATACTGAGCAACAGCTTTGGAATGATTTACAGAAACATAAACAAGGATATCTAGATCACAATATGAAATTGTAAATCATTGAGTTCGGGCAGTATTGACAAATTTGGCCCCTGTCAACTAAAGTGTACATGATAATTTGTTATAAATGTGTTCACTATTCATTTTTATGAGAATATTGATTCAAAATGGTATGTATATTCTGTATTTGAAATATCATTAGTTTTTGGTTAGTCTCTGTGCATCCTGTGAGAAAGGAAGCCTCATTGTTCTCGCCCTTTTTGTTACGAGTTTGAGTATGTTTTTACAGTACAGTCAGAAATTGTTTTTTTCTGTAAAGCCTTACGAATAAAAATTGTACTAATTAAAGTAGTTAATAACCATCTGAACTCAGTAGGTCAGTTAGGTTAGAGTTGGAAGGAATCGAGAATAAACTATATACTAACTTCAGTTTCATGGTATTTGACACTTGTCAGTACGACTCACCTATGCTTTTAAGGGAACTGATTTTTCCTGGTGGTTTTAAAGCTTCATCAACCTGCTACGCAGTCTAGGACACTACCATGGTGTTATTCAGGCCAAGATTGACCTCCTGTAGAACTGAGGCGTATGTATACTGAGTAAACGTTAAGTATCGCTAGTCAATGTTATGCATGTTTAATCCTTTATTACTGATCGAAGAGGTGTATGCACTACTCGGTGCAAATCTCACTGTGAATATCCAACATTGAGATGGTAGACGCTACGATTGTTTTATAAAAATCTCAAGTAGAACTATGGTTCTTGTCTTTTAGCTCTGATTACTTCATGATATTTTATTCATTAATTTCGCCCAATCACTGATCCGTTCCTTTTAATTGACATACTTCTTTTGATCAATACACTACTCTTTTTTCAGCTACTTCTTCAAAGCTCCATTCTACTACTTTTCTTTTTTCATTGTGTTGTCGTTGTTATTTTTGTGGAAGTGTTGCAACTTGATTTATTGTGTATATTTATACCAAATGTACACATTTCCTCATTAACAACGTTGCTTACACACCTTACAAACAGACCTATAATACTTTACATTTGTGTATTCCATAAGTTTGTAACTGAGTCTATGTGCATAAGTGACTGTGTCTGGTCTTATTTGCATTGATTAGTAAATTTTTCGTTCGTTTTCTTCATCGCTCTCATCAAATCTCCAGTCCTCCCTGACCATCACTTCGTGTTAGATTTTCCTTCCCATTACATTTTTTTCTAGGGAAAATTATTTTAAAACAAAATTATGAAAATCTTTATCTGATAAGGTTTACTTTATTGGTACTACTGTAATGAATTAACTAATGTCACAGTTTCTTTTTCTCTCTACATGCACATGGAGACTGATTTAATTTGTAGATCTTGTTTTCGGAGATTAATCTCAATTCAAGTACCACTGAAAATTAAAGAGTACTAAATATATGTCTTTTTTTAGGGTGGGAATTCTAAACAATACGCATCCATAGCCTCACCACCGGGAATCGTACCTAGAACAGTCACATTTTCAAATGAACTTTTAGTCATCAGAACCCCATGGTCGAGGTTCGGTGGTACGATTGTAACTTTAACCAATTTGTTATATTGCACGGTGATCATCCAATCTCATTGATAATAGTTAGGGACTTTATTTACGATTTAATAGCCGAATGTTCATCATGAGAGCTGAAGGTCCCTAGTTGGATTATAGACGGGATAGTAAATGCGCAGTACTGAAGAGCACCTACAGTTGTTTGGTGAACTCTGGTTCTTAATGGTACCTCAACCAAGATCAGTCTGTTACAATCATATTTCAAATGGATGCTCATTCTTCCTTCACTTATTTTATCTCATCTTTCCCTGTTAATTTCTTTTTAGTAATAAATCGAAAGATACAAAACCTAGTAGTGGGAGTTCAGCAAAAACACGACATCGTAAAGCGAAACACTTTTCGTCTACATCACCGTGTGAGGATGATGAGGATGAAACACTCAGAACTGAAACGAATCATTTATCCTATAATTCTACTACGACTACTACTCCTGGTAATAATAGTAATAATAATAATAATTCCGACGCTAATGATCAACATGATCAATCCACATCAAATTCACCATCTGTAGCGTTCCCGACAAAACAGCAACAACCAGTTCTATTCTGCATTGATCCCAAGGATACAGTAAATAATACAAAAGGACAAACTATTAATGTTAAGGAAGATAGAAATACTGATAGTTTACCATTATTAGATACACCGAAAATTATGATAAATCCACCATCGAATCAAGGATCACCGGAAACAGCGCATAGACGACAACAACATCATGTACAACGCATTTAACAATCTCAATTATAAAGTTGACGAATTGAAAAGGAGCAAGTAAAGAATAGGTTTTTTCTTTTCTCTCTTAGAAAAAAACAGTTCCTTCTACTATTGATGGTTTTATATGAATTGCTTCCCACATTTTTTATTACAATAAAATTTCTTGTGTGTGTATGTGTGTGTTGGTTGGTCTATGTGAATGCATGTTTATGTACATGACTTCAAGAAGAAATGACAAAAGACTACTGAAATAATCTAAAACGCGCATATACATATACATACATATGTATCCGTATACTTTCAGAGTACATTTTAATCAGTCTTTCCACCTTTCCACTTCCTAAATTTATTCACTGATTATCGATATTGTATTGGTAAGGAAGAAGATTAAAGCTGAAAAAACAGAATGTATCCAACCAAAATTGTCGTAAGCAAATGCCTAACAAACCTGCATGATTTGTGTATGATTCTTCCTATTATTATTATTATTATTATTATTATTACTATTATTATTATTAGATTTTAGAATTAATGAGAGGTATTTGGTACAGCGTTCTCCCCTTTTCTTTTGTATACATACACATATGAATCTTCTTTTATTGAAAAGTTGGTCCTTTGACCATTTTTTTTTCTTAAAGAAAATACTAATGCATACGTTTTTTTCAAACATTGGTTTACTTCCCTTCCGTTTCAACCCATCTCTCCATAACACAGCTGCTCTTTGCATCCACGTTAACATCATCATTATCGTCATCGTCATCCTCAAGTTTCATAACTCCTGATCTTGATTGTTATTGTTACCATTAGTACTTTTTTTATCAGTTACATTATATTTTGTTTGAATAACAATTTCATATTTGTTATTGTCATGGATAAACACATTTTCTTATACGAAAATTGCTAGAATACAATACATATATGATCATTAGATACGTCCATCCATGTTCTTTCCTACCTCCCTCCCTCTGCGCCTCTTTTTTTTAAAAAAAAATAATCCAATACACCTTTACATTACATGATCATATCTACTGTTTTCACCACTGATTAATTAATTCTTAAATAGTTGAATCTTTCTCTATTCTCTATTGTTGTTCTGATTTGTTATTTGACCGTTTCTATACACTCTCCATTGTTTACATACATAAACACACATAAACCAATGATAAAATATCATTTCTAGTCAATGAGAATGTTAGGTTTCTACATTGTAGTAATTTATTTACTATAATTACCATTATTATTATTATTATTATTATTATTATTATTATTATTATTATTAGTAGTAGTAGTAGTAGTAGTAGTAGTAGTAGTAGTAGTACTATTAGTGGTAGTAATAGTAGTAATAATCATAACAATTGTACTTCACATTGAATCAGTTGGTTCACTTTCAGGAATCATTCTATGCCTCTACATTGTTTTGTTATTGTTGTTACATTACTCTTAGAAACAGACAGTGTTGGTAAAAATTCATTTTTGATTTTGGGAACATATATATATATATATATATTACATATAATGTACACATTTTAATGGTACTCTCTATTCATTTAAATGAACAAATAAAAAAATACCTGTGTACAACGAATTGTAGAAGATTTGAAAGACAATAATGCGCGAAAAAATAAATGAATTTTGAAGATACAAATAGATATGTAACATGATTAGAGATACTACTAATAATAATGATTATTATGATTAATTGTAGTCATAGTAATGAAAATATCTTTATTTTTAGTCTTCTTACTGATTATTAGATGTCAAACTTAGATGATTAATCTACTATACTTTCATAGATTCATTGTATATCTATACACAGACAAACACATATACAATCTAATATCTCAGTATCTTCTTATCTTTTCTCTTTTCTGCCGATATTTTGGTGATGGCAGCGATGGGATTGACGATAACAATAATGATGATTATGTTTGCAGTTATTTTTTTTCTTAATTCCCTCTAATTTGCTCTTCTATTCGTTTTTCTTTGAAGCGCCATAGAGATAGTAAGGTGCCAAGATGGGATAATAAGGGTGAATATGTGTATTTGTGCGAGATAATAGACGATAAAGAGCAGAGAACAAAGTAGATGTAATTTGATATATGTAACTGTAGGGTAAAAAAAACCGTTGCTTATTCTTACCATGATCAGTTTGTACACGTAACTAAATCCTAGTCAATCGGGTACCATAAAAAACAGTAGTAGTAGTAGTAGTAACGATAGTCACAACAGTCATTAATCTCGTCATCTTTATTAGATTGATAAGAGAGAGGAAAATTATCATTATCCCTCCATTTCGCACCCTCCTCTTGGCATCATCCATATGAAATTTCCTTGTTTTTTCTGGGAAGAAATAGTTTCGCTGCAGCAAAACACTGTTTACTACTACTGAAAAATAATGTACTGATTAAGCTTACTTTCTCTCTCTTGCATACACAAATAATCCCTGACTTCCCCTACTCTACCCTTCTCTAATCTAGTAAATACCTTTACTTACTACAAGCAAGAGTTTTTTTTACTCTCAATTAGTTATATTTTCTTCTATCTATGCCTAAGTACACATGTACGACTGGAGATGCATTACTCAATTCTTACACTAGAGCATTTAGCAAAAATAGACCAATTTCGCTTCGTTTGTACTATTGATTCCCTTCTCTTTTTTTTTGAAAATAAAATTGTTAGTTACAGAAAAAAAAGAAGAATATTAGGTTATTCCGTTTAAACTAGTTTTCATTTCCTCTTCCCATTACGTTTTCCTTCGTACTCTCGTTCACTGTTTTTTTTAAATTTTATATATATATATATATACAGTGCCATTCTTCTCTTTAATTCACTCCTTATAATCCATCCTTCATATGTCTTTTTAAACTGATAATGACACATGGGAAAATGCTCTTGATTCATATGAAAAAAGAAACAAACTGAAGATGGCATCATTCTCTTTGTTTACTTGCTCCAGCTAGTGTTTACCTTTAACATTATTATTATTATTATTATTATTACTATTATTTATTGTTATTACTTTGTCTCCTGGTTCTACCGTCATTCTGTTTATTCGTTCATGAGATATCCTTTCTTATGTCAGAACCATTTCCTACCTGTTTTGCTTACAAACTGTTTTTCAACTCTCTCTCTCTCTCTATCTGACTGTCTATCTATACTACCCAGCAGCCTGTTTACCCATCAAGTTTATCGATCTATTTGTTTCTATTTAACAACTATCCTTGTTTTTTTCAGTTGTTTTTATTCAAACTTAGCAGAACCTATACAATATTAGAATTTGACAAATCATATTATAATTTCTATGAAAGTGATAAGTATTATTACTAATATGATTTACTCAAATATTGTTGTTATTGTTATGACTATTATTATTATTATTATTATTATTATTATTATTGATATTACTATTTTTACTATTGTTTCTATTGATACAATAACGAATCACTCATCATAAACATATGCAACTTATGAAAGATGACATCGACAAATCATACGTAGTATACATTACTGTTACTAAACTATTTATACTAATAATAGTAACAATTCATACAGTCTTTTGTAGTCGTGCGGTTCCTGCTGCTGTCAGTAGTAGAGTATCCAACTGTCTGTCCGTCTGTCTGTCTATCTATTTGTCTATATTTCATGTGGTGATATTAATGATTCATCAAGTGGTAAGGTTAATCATATACACAGTGATTAACCTGGAGAAAAATTTCCGAAGTTCTAGTGAGAAAGAAACTCTACACAGAAAAGCAAGAAGTTCTAGGGCTCAATCTATGGTCAGGTAATAGGAGATAGTCCACAGGAAACCCTGAACCTAGATCCGTGCTATTTATCACTTCTCAGCAACGTGCTCCTTTAGTCTTGGAGAGATAGGTAATCCTTGGTAGATTCAATACTGTGTCAATTCATTTTGTAGTCAGAGACCTTATCACTGAGTTATTCGTGCCGCGACTTACCTTTTGAACTAGAATATATTTACTATTGGTTGATCAATAAGTAGTGGTTAATATCATGTCTGTTAAGTCCTTAGTATTGACGAAATCCTATCGATCAAGTTACAGTGTGACCACTACTAGTCCAAGCAATTGAACATCGTGTAAACTATGTTAGGTGATAAGAGGTAATCAACAGAAATTCTATTAGCTCTAGGAAAGACTCAACATACATGCGATTGTCCACGATTCAATGGTCAATCGGTTAGAAATTATCGGTCCGTACAACAGTGGAGGAGTTCAACACTCGGATGAATATCACTATCCAACCCTCCCTGAATTTCAATTTAAGACAACAGTTATTGGATTTTTCCCCAAAATTTAAAAATACTGTGGACGTATTTGTATTTTTACTATTAAAGTCAACCTAATGGTTCAATAAACTGTCTTCTAAATGAAAACCTCTTCATATCTTTCGGTACTAAAAATTATTAACATTCATTGTAATATAATGTGGATTTGGTATATTTTGAAATCTGTCATAATTTTCATGTAGTTCAAGACTCATCTGGGACTTGATAGCGTTATTTGGTTAAAAATAACTGTCTGGTGTTGAATTGTCTGAGATACATTTTACTAAGAGATTCTTCGAAAACCTCTATCTAGTGTAGTGCTTTACAGCTGATCTAATACAGTCTAAACGGTAAGAAATTTGAGAAAAAAAGGTTATTTGTAATCTACGTAGCTGAGGAGGATAGCAAATTATATCATATTTGAGAAAAAGTAATGGTTTCTGTGGTTTAATTCGGTTAAGATGTATGCATTGTAAGGTATCACTGACCCATTATGCAAAACGGAAGACTGAAGTGAATAGGAACGTTTAATCACTAAATCAAATAATAGTCAACACATATCATCGTTTTTCCAGCCCACCCAAGAATAAATAGTTCGAGACCTTGAGTAGGTGGATAATTGACATCCGTCAACAACGTGTATCGTTTTTGATCTTTCATCCACTGCTTGATCTTGAGATCGTGGAGATGTAATCCCTTATTTGCCTATACGCCCATCATCGATAAACTGGAACGATCTGATTCAGATGTCAAGGCGCAAATTGGAAAAGCAAAGACAGTATTCTTCCAAATGAACAGTATCTGAAACGCAAAACAATTGTCCCACAACCCCAAAGTCAGAATTTTCAACACCCATGTTAAAACAGTTCTATTGTATGGAGATGAAACATGAGCAACTATCTTAAACATCACCACGGTAACATAGGTATTTAAAAACAACTGTCTACACAAGATACTCCAGATATGTCGGCCAAATACCAACATTAGTAACCTACTTTAGTAGAGAGAGGACCAGCTGTCAGTTGAGGAGGAACTAAGCAAAAGACAGAGGTGAATAAAGCACTTTAGACAGAAACCACTAAACTTGATTACAAGGCGAATTCTAACTTCAGTTTCTCAAGGGTAAAGGAAAAGAGCCAGAAGAAAAAACACATGCATCTGGGGATTGATGACAGACATCAAGACAATGAGTAACACTTGGGAAAAACTG